ATCTCGGCTCACTGCAAGCTCTGCCTCCCGAGTTCAAGTGATTCTCCTGCCTCAGCCTCCAGGGTAGCTGGGATTACAGGCGCCAGCCAGTACACCCAGCTAATTTTTTGTATTTTTAGTAGAGACAGGGTTTCACCGTCTTGGCCAGGCTGGTCTCTGTGATTCGCCCGCCTGGACCTCCCAAAGGGCTGGGATTACAGGCGTGAGCCACCACGGCTGGTCGCTTTTAAAAAATTCATTCAACAAACATTTCCACGGCCCCCTCATGTGCCACACACTGGGCTATCTACTGGGGAACCTATTGGACAGTAAGCTTCCCGAGGGTTAGGAGCAAACTGTCTTGTTCAAGTCTATAACCTGCCTCGCTTTCCCCCAAAATGAAACTGTGCACCCTCCCTCGCCCTCAAATCCAGGGCCACTGACAAGTACTGTGGTTCCATCTCCAAAACACTGCTCAAATCTACCACTTCTCTCCAACTTCACTGCCAGAACCCTAGGCCAAGCCACCATCAACCTTTCACCCGATGACATTGTTAGCTTTCTATGCTGGTCTCTTTGTCCCCCTGCAATCTATTCTCCATACAACAGCCACAGTAACCTTCCCTTTCCTTAGTAACCTTTTAGGAACATAAATCAGATCATGGGGGTCCCTTCGTTGAAATTCTTTAATGATTTTCCATCGCCCTTATAACAAAAGCTGCAAAGCCTGCGAGGCGATGATACATATTCTCTCTCCCTTTCCAAGCTTTCTACTCCCTTACTTTTTCCACAATCCACCACGTCCAATTCTACCCACCCAGACACCCAAAACAATGCTCCAGCCGGGCCAGCCCGCTTCCACTTTCTGGAACACACTAAGTCGCTTTGAGGTCTCAGGCTCTGTCGGAAGAAAGCTCCCCCCAGGTCCTTCTTGCCCTTCGGTCTCCACTTACTTATCTTTCTGAGACTTTCTGCACGACCCTGAGTCGTCCACTGTCGTGCATTTGTTTATTGCCTGCTCGTCCCTTTAAACTGTAAGCGCCGTGAAGGCAGCGGAAATGTGATCCCAGCCCCGCACACCACCCGCGTTCAATAATCATTAGCAAATCATGAATACGAGAAATCAATGAATGAATGAATGAATAAAAGAAAGCCCAGGCGGCAGGCACTTGGCAAGCACTTAAAAGGCTGCTTTTAAAAAGAAGAACCCGGCTCCTTAGTAGACGGCCGGCAACTCCCAGCCCCCGGCCCGGCCATGCCAGCCCCGCGCGGTCCCGAGCTGCCGCCAAATCCAGATCGCGCCCACCCGAGCTCCCAAGACCCCGCGCCTCTCGCCCTCAGATCCCTTGCAACCCGCGCACAGACGTGCGAGGCGGCCCCGGCCCCGCCGCCCGAGGATCACCCGCATGCCTGGGGCCGGCGCTCCTCACCCGGTGGCCGGACGCCCTCTTGATCCACAGACTAACCCGCCAAAATTCCAACCGGATTCCGCCCCTGCCTTGACATCACACGCACGCGGCTGTGGGGCCACACTGATTGGCTACGTCAGCAAGCCCCAGGCCCTCGCGCAGAGCAATCGGATTGGTTTACGTCATTGGGCGCCCTCTTTGTTGGGGGCAAGGGCACTTCCTGTCGGTAGAAACCAGTCTCCTTTAGGTAAAATAGAGTGTCTGGCGCCCCCTGGTGCCTGGAAGTTTAAGTCGTCCCACCCAGTATTTTTCCTGTGCTCCACAGGTCCCACTCCTGACGCTCTGGGACCGACCGTTCCTTTGTCAGCCTTGTGTCCATTCGAAATGTTTGGGCTCAGGACCAAACAGATCCAGTCCACTTTTACCCTGTCTGACCTTGGGGAAGTGACTTACCTCTCTCAGTTTCCCCTTCACCGTCTGTGCAGTGAGGGAAAGGGTAGATGACATCTTTTACACTGAAACCACCGTTTCCCAAGTAATTCCTGGTCCACAGATTTTTGGGACTTCTAAGGGGCGTCAGGGCTGAAGAGAACTTATCAGCAGACCATATCTTTCACAGAATTTTTTTCAGTAAAATTCAGACCTCTTTAAGTATTTACATTCTAAAAAATAGTGTTTGTACATACTAATAAGAACATAGTTTCTAAATGCAGAATAACATTTAGCTTTTGCATAATTTCAAGGGATTGATAGCAGAAGAGACTTTGACGGACCAAATGACCACTATGAGTCTTCCCACCCCCGCTTTTCCTCCTTGCAGACACTATTCAGGCACTGCAGTTCCCCCACTAATAATCCTTTTGGTGTAAGATCGTATCTCTATCCACTATCTACTTTCATTGTCAGAACGATTAAAATCGACTTTAGGAAGACCGAAGATAAACAGTCCTGATGCCATCTACGTTGACTTTTTTCCTGTGTCCTAATGGAGTATTACTGCTCCATTAATGAGCTCAGCCCTATTATTTACGCCTATATTTAAACCTATATTGGCTCAGGAATAGGAATAAAACCGTTTCTGAGAGCTGCTAGTGTTAAAAATTCATAGTAATAGAGGAACTCTAGCAATCAAGTTGAAAAAGCGTGTTTAAATGCATCACTACATCTAGTTATTTTTTAAAAGCTTCATCATAGATTTATTCTTAGCCATTATGCAGAAATTCCTTGACCAGTTCTGATCAGTACTCCGAAGTTCTCTTCTTCACCTTGACTGTCCACGTCCTCTTTGCATCCAGTTCCATGCAAGGAGTCAGAAACAGAACCAATCTAAACCCGCAAATCTTCCTTAAATGAGGAATCAAGCACTTCTTATTGGAATAAGTGTAGTGGTGATGTTGAGAAAAGAAGTGGAGGTGATTTTGAGAAACAATTAGGCAAAGAGATTTTTAAAAATCCATTGAATGTGGCTTTTCCGCGCCAATAGCGCTCACACCAACATGATGAACGTTCCTAAAACCCACCGGCCTTTCTATACGAAGTGTGGCAAGCACCAACCCCACAAAGTGACACAGTTCACAAAGGACAAGGATTCTCTGTATGTCCAGGGAAAGCGGTGTTATGACAGGAAGCAGAGTGGCCATGGTGGGCTAACTAAGCCGATTTTCCAGGAAAAGGCTGAAACTACAGAAGACTGTGCTAAGGCTTGAGTGCGTTGAGTCCAGCTGCAGCTCTAAGAGAATGCTGGCTATTAAAAGATGCAAAGCATTTTGAACTGGGAGGAGATAAGAAGAGAAATGGCCAAGTGATCCAGTCCTAAGTGTCATGTTTTCTTTTATTATGAAGACAATCAAATCTTGAGTTTATATTTTTAAAACATCTATTGAATGTGGAGATATTAGCGAGAAGGGAGCAGAGAGGCAATGGGGAGATAGGTTTAGGATGACTGTTTCTGATTTATACAATAGGGTAGTTTTTGAGGTTGCGCACTGAAGTAGGAGACACAGGAAGAACGGAACAGGTTTAGGGGAGAAGATAGATTTAGTTTTCTATTTCAGAATGAGAAAGGCACAGTAGCCAACCCCCAGCTTGATCTCCAGATCTGGGGTTCTAAGGAGTGGTCTGTACTCTCCTTAGAATACAAACGAAGGCCAAAAAAGAACAGCTCTGACAGTCATTAACATCTATCTAAAATGAAATCTAAAGCAAAGAGCCCATATTGCAGTGGTCCTTAACCTTTTTTTTGGGCGGTAGAGGGTGTGTATCACAGAGCCCTTTAATATAATAAAAGTGGGCCGGGCACGGTGGTTCATGTCTGTAATCCCAGAACTTTGGGAGGCCGAAGCGGGCAGATCACCTGAGGTCAGGAGTTCGAGATCAGCCTGGCCAACATGGTGAAAACCCACCTCTACTAAAAAATACAAAAATGAGCCAGACGTAGTGGCGCATGCCTGTTATCCCAGCTGCTCGGGAGGCGGAGGCAGAAGAATCGCTTGAACCCGGGGGTCGGAGGTTGCAGTGAGCCGAGATTGGCCATTGCACTCCAGCCTGGGCAACAAGAGCAAAACTCTGTCTCAAAAAAACAAAAAACAAAACAAAAGAGGCCAAGCCGAGTCCCTCCAGCTCCCTCTGGGAATCAAAATAGCGGCGAGGAAAACCTGGAGCAGTCCCGGGGCCTGAGCTACTGACAGGAGAGGAGAGGGCGGCGGCGGCGGTAGGAGGAGGATGGCGCGGGGTGCTGGCGCCGGTGCCGACGGCGGTGCTGGTGGCGGAGGCGGCGGAGGCGATGGCAGAGGTCCCTGCGGCAGCAGCAGCAGCGGCGGGAGGAGCCTCCGGGTTGGTTGAACTATGGTTGCGGAACCCATGGAACACGAAGGGCAGACTGTGTAATAAACCCTTTAGGATCTTTGCTGTGTAGTTCTTACAGAATGTACAGTCCGTGTCTCTGGCTGCCCCGTCTTTCACACTTCCAGTGGGATGCACTGAAGTAAAGTCTAATGGCCCTGTTCTCATAGAAATGAATGAAAAGAGGCACCTGGATCCAGGTTTGAAGTTTCCTAACGGCCTCTGGGATTATACTCTGGAGAACCCGCAGATGGAATGCCTGAGTGACTGAGGAAAATGGGTGCTAATGCATCTCATTATCTTCATTCATGTTCCCCGAGGGTAGGGTGAAATTCACAGGCCCAGTAGACTTTGATAGGGACGTCATCCTATTCTCAGCAAGGCTGTGGTTGCAAACCAAAATTGTATAGCCTTGACCATGGCAATGAGAAACCACAAGACCAAAAAAAAAAAAAAAAAAAAAAAAAAAGAGGACTTCTGGCCCTGCCACCTTAATTAAGTGTCAACAATCTGATAGGTCTGCCGATCATGCCAAGCAGATGCGAGAACTCCTCTCTGGGTGGGATGTTAGAGATGTCAATGCTTTAGTCGAGGAATATGAGGGAACGCCAGCATTAAAGGAGCTTTCTCTACAAGCCAGTTTGGCTAGGCCGGAAACCTGGACATTGCAGAAAGGTACGAATGATCTTTATGAGTACAAGTATCGTACTGATGTAGATTTCATATTTCAAGAAACTTGTTATCCTGTTCATTGTGCCATTTTGGCAGCAAGGTGTCCATTTTTTAAAACGCTGCTTTCTTCCTCACCTGAGTATGGGGCAGAGATAATAATGGACATCAATACAGCTGGTATTGATATGCCCATGTTTTCTGCTTTGTTATACTACCTTTATACAGGAGAGTTTGGAATGGAGGATTCAGGGTTTCAAAATGTCGATATCCTTGTTCAGCTTAGTGAAGAATTCCCTTAATGTAGATATGCGTGGACTCTTTGATTACATGTGTTATTATGATGTCGTCCTTAGTTTTTCTTCAGACTCTGAACTGGTTGAAGCTTTTGGTGGAAATCAGAACTGTTTAGATGAAGAGCTCAAAGCCCACAAGGCTGTTATTTCTGCACGGTCCCCATTTTTTCGAAATTTATTACAAAGGAGGATACGAACTGGTGAAGAAATCACAGACCGAACTTTGAGGACTCCCACAAGAATTATATTAGATGAGTCCATTATACCAAAAAAATATGCAAAAGTGGTATTACACTGTATGTATACCGACATGGTGGACCTCTCTGTTTTACACTGTAGCCCCTCTGTGGGGAGTCTCAGTGAAGTTCAGGCTCTTGTTGCAGAGAAGTCAAACATGACCAGGGCAGAAGAAGCCATGGAGCTTTACCACATAGCCCCGTTCTTGGAATTTAACATGCTTGCACAAGGTATGAAGTTCTGGTTTTTAATTTTGATTTCTAGAATTACATATTTATCTTCCAAACTGAAAACACAACTAGAATAGTCTATGATTTCAGTGTTTGGGATGTTACAGGGTCAGTTTTTTTGAACCTTCAGTTATGACATCTGAGACAGATTGAGCATCAGTATCAATGCGGTTCTTTACTATTAAAATCAAGCATTCAATACTACAAAAAAAAAAAAAAATACATACATATAAAATGAAAGTGATGGGGGTTTTTTTCCTCCCAGAAAAATGCACACTCATACACTCAAGTTTGTATTCGCCCTTTCAAGGGATACGGGTGTTCTCCTGAAGCCCATCTACAGACACCTCTCCAAATTAAGAACTTCTGGTGCAAAACGCCAGAACCCTGGGGAGCACAAACATTTGAGGGTTAAGCAGCTGAGGCAAAGAAGAGAAGCCAAAGACAGGAACCAAGTGGGAGCAGTCAGGGTATATCAGAAAGCAGAACTGGCCCTAGCCTGAGGCAAGAGGGCACCCTGGCCTGGGCCTGCCCTTTACAGGGCCCAGTTCTCCTCCTCTTCCAGCTGCACCCCTCCCCTCGGGATGACCAGTCCCAGGGCCAAGGGGATGTATCCATCTGGATCCTGGGCAGCTCCATGTGGTCAAAGCTCTAGGTCCTGGGACCTTGGGATGTTTTACCCAGACAGCCCTGAGCCTGCTTCAGAGACCTGTGTGGGCCTTTCTCTCTGGTTGTCATTCCAAGGAGTGGCCATTCTGTGTGGTTGGAGGGTTGAGTGAGGGAAGGGAGCTTGGACAGCAGTCTGGGGTATCCCTACAACTGGGAGAGAGGCCAGCAAAGGCTGCACAGAACTCAGTCCTGGTGTTACAGGAAAGGGGTCCTGATCCAGACCCCAAGAGATGGTTCTTGGATCTCACACAAGAAATAATTCAGGGTGAGTCCTCAGAGTAAAGTGAAAGCAAGTTTATTAAGAAAACAAAGGAATAGGCAGGGCGCCATGGCTCACGCCTGTAATCCCAGCACTTTGGAAGTCCAAGGCGGGTGTATCACGAGGTTAGAAGTTCAAGACCAGCCTTGCCAAGGTGGTGAAACCCCATCTCTACTAAAAATAGAAAAATTAGCCAGGCGCGGTGGCGGGTGCTCATAATCCCAGCTACTCAGGCGGCTGAGGCAGGGGAATCGCCTGAACCCGGTAGGCAGAGGTTCCAGTGAGCCAAGATCGTGCCACTGCACTCTACCCAGGACGACAGAGCAAGACTCCCTCTCAAAAATGAAAAGAATGGATATTCCACAGACAAAGCAGCCCTGAAGGCTGCTGATTGCCAACTTTTATGATTATTTACTGATGATATGCTAAACAAGGACTGGATAATTCATGTCTCCTCTTTTTAAACCATATAGGGTAACTTCCTGATGTTGCCATGGCATTTGTAAACTGTCCTGGTGCTGGTGGTACTGTAGCAGTGAGGACGACCAAAGGTCACTCTCGTTGCCATGTTGGTTTTGGCCGGCTTCTTTACTGCAACCTGTTTTATCAGTAAGGTCTTTATGACCTGTATCTTGTGCCAACCTCCCATCTCACCCTGTGACTTACAATGCCTTAACCATCTGGGAATGCAGCCCACTAGGTTTTAGCCTTATTGTACCCAGCTCCCATTCAAGATGGAGTTGCTCTGGTTCACACGCCTTTGACACTGATAGGGAGAGAAGAAGGGTTTGCAGGGCTTAAGCTGTTATGTTACAGTGTGAAACTCCAAGGAGATTGTTAGTTTTACCTATAAACTTACAAATTTTACACATAAGAGGATGTGGGCCTATGTCTGTATTCTTGCCCCGGGGCTTTTCCGATGTAAAGGGGTGGGCCTGTGGGAAAATGATGGTACAGGACACCGGGGAAGGAGAGTTTTAGGAAGGACATGGCAAACGTCACTGCAGCAGGACAGTAGTGCATCCTGGAGCCTGGTCTCTGGGCCAGGAGTAGCAGTGTCACCCGGGAACCTGTTAGAACTCGCATGCTGGGCCTCATTCCAGAGCCTCGGAAGCACTGACTCTGGGGTGGGACTCAGCATTGCATGTTCTGCCTTTGGAAGGTTTTGTCGCTGTATATATAGTGGTGGTTCATACAACTTCAGAGGACATCAGAATCACCAGGAGGGCCTTGGAAACATGGTGCAGAGTAAGACAGTGAAACAGGCAGGAGCGGGGAGAAGGTGAGTTGGCTTCAGGCCTCCTTTCCCCAAATGCCTCTGGCTTATATTGCTAAGCCCTTCTCCTTGTCACCTCTGCCAATATGGGGAAATTCCTCATCCCTGCATCCAATTATCCCACCTCACAGACTGTGTCTCTTTCCTCTGGAACCCATCTACTCATCTACATCTTTGCTATGGCAAAACCCCGTTTCTACCAAAAATACAAAAATTAGCCAGGCATGGTGGTGGGTGCCTGTAGTCCCAGCTACTCGGGAGGCTATTTTGTTTTGTTTTGTTTTGGAAAAAAAAAAAAAAAAAAAAAAAAGCCAGGTGTGGTGGTGCATGCCTGTAATCCCAGCTACTCAGGAGGCTGAGGCAAGAGAATCACTTGAACCCGGAAGGCGGTGGTTGCAGTGAACCGAGATCACACCACTGCACTCCAGCCTGGGAGACAGAGAGAGGACTCCGTCTCAAAAAAAAAATAATAATAATAATAAAAAAAGAAAAATTAGCTGGGTGTGGTGGCAGATGCCTGTAATCCCAGCTACTCGGGAGGCTGAGGCAGGAGAGTTGCTTGAACTTGGGAGGCGGAGGTTGCAGTGAGCCAAGATCATGCCATTGCACTCCAGCCTGGGCAACAGAGAAAGACTCTGTTTCAAAAAAAAATAAAAATAAAAATAAAAATAAATAAATAAAAGCTGCAACTAGGTGTCATATCCATTTTCCCCCACTGAATTAATGATGGCATAATACATTTAATATTTCCTTAAAAATAACCCAAGTTAGCCCTTTCCTTACGGGTCACACGGAAGTGTTAACCAATCTTTACAACAACCTTGATTTTCTGATGCAAACATAAATTTGAGGTGTGTTCATATTAAATAATCTTATAGTTCAAAGTCTTTTTCATTGAAAAAAATAGTAGACTTAATTTTTTTTAGAGCAGCTTCAGGATTACAGAGAAATCAGCAGGAAGGAACAGAGTCCCCAAATAGCCCCTTCCACACACACACAGTTCCCCTTCTTACTAACATCTGGCATTAGTGTGGGACATTTGTTACAACTGATGAATCAATATCGATACATTATTATTAATGACAGTCCACAGTTCATTAGGGTTCACTCTTTATGCTGTACAGTTCTATGGGTTTTGACAATGGCATCCACCAGTACAGTCTCCTACAGTGTAGTTTCACTGCCCTAACAGTCTCCCGTACTCTAACTCTTCATGCCTCCCTCCCCACAATTCTTGGCAACCACTACCATCTCCATAGGTTTGTTTTTTGCATTGTCAGATGGTTGGAATCATACAGAAATCATACTTTTTCAGAATGGCTTCTTTCACTTAGCAATCTGCATTTTAAAAAGTGCAAGGAATTCCACCCCAAAACATGACTCCTTGGCATAATGAGCATTTTGAATGAAAAGCCCTTACCGATTGACAGGACTTGGAAGAGACTTTTCTCCTAGCCACACGAAGACCTGACAGATCCACCAAGAAGAACAAGGGTTTTTTTCTCCCATGTTATTTCATTGTCTATTGCAGGAATGATAATCAAGAATGTAACCAGACTTGGCCCAACCTTTTTACAAAATGTTTCTCAGGCTCATTCATTTTCCAGAGAGAAACATTTACAAGTCAGTCTCTGTCCCCTACTAAGTATCCATTCATCCTCCCTAGTAATCAATTACTATCCCTCAACAGAATTACCCATATTCCCCATCCCCACCTCCCTTTTGGCATGAGGTTATGTAAGTATTTGGGCCCCACTGGGATACTGGGTAATCACTCTGTGATTCTCTCCACATGCACGGCTAAATAAATTCGTATGCTTTTCCTATTTATTTATTTATTTATTTTATTCTATTTTTGTGAGACGGAGTTTCGCTCTTACTGCCCAGGTTGGAGTACAATGGCACAATTTCGGCTCACCGCAACCTCCACTTACCAGATTCAAGCAATTCTGCTGCCTCAGCCTCCCAAGTAGCTGGGATTACAGGCATGCGCCACCATGCCCGGCTAATTTTGAATTTTTAGTAGAGACGGGGTTTCTCCATGTTGGTCAGGCTGGTCTCGAACTCCCGACCTCAGGTGATCTGCCCACCTCGGCCTCCCAAAGTGCTGGGATTACAGGTGTCAACCACTGCACCTGGCTTACCTTTTATTAATCTGCCTTTCATTTCATCAGTTTTGTAGTTTTCCTCATACAGATCTTAAATGAATACCCTGGAATACCAAAGTATTCCATTTTTGGGTACTAATGCAAGTAGTACTATGTTTTATATCTCAAGGGGCAATGATTCATTGTTGGTATACTGGTATTGGTAATTTGTATCTTGTCTGTTTTTCTTAGTTAACCTGGCTAGAAGTTCATCAATTTTACTGATTATTTCAAACCACCAGCCTCTGTTTTCTCTGTTGATTTCCGGGTTTGTTTCATTAATTTATGCTCTAATTTTTATTATTATTTTTCTTCTGTTTATTTTGTACTTTGCTCTTCTTTCCTAGTTTCCTAGGCGGCAGCTTCTATTACTGATTTTAGTCTTTCTTCTTTTCTACATATATATTCAATGCTACAAATTTCCCTTAAAACACTGTTTTCTCTGAATCCCACAAATTTTAATAGGTTATATTTCATTCAGCTTAAAATATTGCTTGAGATTTCTTCCTTAAACCATGTACTGTTTGTAGGTGTATTTTTTTTTTTTTTTTTTTTTTTTGAGACAGAGTCTCACTCTGTTGCCCAGGCTGGAGTGCAGTGGTGCAATCTTGGCTCATTGCAACTTCTGCCTCCCAGGTTCAAGCAATTCTCCTGCCTCAGTCTCCCAAGTAGCTGGGACTATAGAAGCACACCGCCACACCCAGCTAATTTTTTTTGTATTTTAGTAGAGACGGGGTTTTACTGTGTTGTCCAGGCTGGTCTCAAACTCCTGAATTCAGGCAATCTGCCTGCTTGGCCTCCCAAAGTGCTAAGGATTACAGGCATGAGCCACCATGCCCGGCCTGTAGGCGTATTGTTTAGTCTCCATGTATTTTTGGAGTTTCCAGCTCTCTTTCTGTTATTGATTTCTCGTTTAATTACATTTTGATGTGACAGCATACTTGATTTCCATTATTTTAAATTTGTTAAGCTGCATTTTATGGCCCAGAATGTGGCCTTTCTTGGTGAATATTCTGTATGAGCATGAGAAGAATGTAAACTCTGCTATATGCAGAGTATGAAGTATTCTGTAGGTGTCAATTAGATCTAGCAGACTGATGGTGTTTAATATAGTTTGGATACCTGTCCCCTCTAAATTTCATGTTGAAGTTTGATCCCTAGTTTGGAGGTGGGGCCTAGTGGGAGTGTCTGAGTTATGGGGGTGGATCCCTCATTAATGGCTTGGTGCCATCCTCATGGTAATGAGTTCTAACTCTAATAGTTTCTGGGAAAACCGATTGTTAAAAAGAGCCTGGCACCTACCTCCCTTCTCTCTCTTCCTTCCTCTCGCTATGCAATGCCTGCTTCCCTTTGCCTTCTGCCATGAGTGGAAGCAGCCTGAGGTCCTCATAGAAGCAGATGCTAGCCGGGTGCAGTGGCTCACGTCTGTAATCCCAGCACTTTAGGAGGCTGAGGTAGGTGGATCACCTGAGATCAGGAGTTTGGGACTACCCATGGCGAAACCCCATCTCTACTAAAAACATAAAAATTAGCTAGGTGTGGTGGCATGCGCCTGTAATCCCAGCTACTCGGGAGGCTGAGGCAGGAGAATGGCGTGAACCGAGGCGGCAGAGCTTGCAGTGAGCTGAGATCTGGCCACTGCACTCCAGCCTGGGCGACAGAGCGAGACTCTGTCTAAAAAAAAAAAAAAAAAAAAAAAAGCAGCAGATGTTAATGCCATGCTTCTACAGTCTGCAGAAATGTGAGCCAAATAAACCTCTTTTCTTTATAAATTACCCAACCCCACACATTCCTTTATAGAAACACAAACTATGACAGTGTTGTTCAGTTCAACTCTGTCCTTACTAGTTTTCCATCTCCTGTATCTGTGAATTACAGAGGGGTTTTAAAGCTTCTGACTGTCAGTCTTCTCAAACTGCCATAACAAAATACCATAGTCTGGGTGGTTCAAACAACAGGAATTTATTTTTCACATCTCTGGAGACTAGATGTCAGGGGTCAGGGTGTAGGCAGGGTCGGAGTCTGGTGAGGGCTCTTTCCTCGGGTTGCAGATAGTTGCTTCTTGCTGTGTCCTCACATGGCTTTTCCTTGGTTCATGCACACAGAGAGGGAGGAAGGGAGGGCTCTCTGGTGTGTCTTCCTGTAAAGGCACTAATTCCATCATCAAGGCCCCACCCTCATGACCTTATCTAAACAGAATTAACTCTTAAATGTCTCATCTCCAAATATCATCACACTGGGGGTTAGGGCTTCAACATATTAATTCTGGGGGACACATTTCAGTCCACAATACCAACTATACTAGTGAATTCATCTATTTTTCCTTACAGTTCTATCAGTTTTTGCCTCATGTGTCTTGACATTCCATTGTTAGGTGCAAACACATTCAGGATTGTTGTGTATTCTTGGAGAATTGACCTCTTTATCATTATGTAATGTCCCTCTTTATGCTTGGTAATTTTCTTTGCTCTGAGGCTTCTTTGTCTGAAATTAATGTATCTACTCCAGGTTTGTTTTGATTAGTGTTAGTATAATGTATCTTTCTCCATCTTTTTAATCTACTTATGTCTTTATATTAAAAGTGAGTTTCTTGTCAATGACTTACAATTGGGTCTTGTTGGTTTTTTTTTTTTTTTTTTTTTTGAGATGGAGTCCCACTCTGTTGCCCAGGCTGGAGTATAGTGGCATGATCTTAGCTCACCACAACCTCTGCCTCCCAAGTTCAAGTGATTCTCCTGCCTCAGCCTCCCCAGTAGCTGAGACTGCAGGTGTGCACCACCATGCCTGGCTAATTTTTGTATTTTTAGTAGAGACAGGGTTTCACTATGTTGGCCAGGCTGGTCTTGAACTCCAGACCTCGTGATCCACCTGTCTCGGCCTCCCAAAGTGTTGGGATTACAGGCATGAGCCCCCGTGCCCGGCCTAGTTTTTTTTTTTTTTTTTAAATCCACTCTAACAGTCTCTTTTAAAATTGATATCTTTAGCCTACTGATGTTTAAAGTTACTATTGATATAACTGGAATAATGTCTACCATATTTATTATTTTCTATTTGTTGCCTTTAATCTTTTTTTATTGTTTTCCACTGTATTTCTGCCTTTTATGGTTTCAACTGAGCATTTTATGTAATTTTCTCTCCTCTCTTAGCATATAAATTATACTAATATGTATCAGTTTCCTTCACCCTGAAGAACTTCTTTTAACATTTCTTGGAAGGGAAGAACTAATGGCACCAAATCCTCTTAATTACTGTTTGAAAAAGTCTATTTCTCCATCACTTTTGAAGGATAATGTCCATATGTAGAGAATTCTAAATTGGTGGTTGTTCTCGCTCAACATTTATTTCACTTTATTCTCTTCTTGCTTGCATGGTTTCTGGACAGAGGTCTGATGGTTCTTATTCTTGCTCCTCTCTACAGGTAAGGCTTTTCCCCTTTCTGGCTTCTTTCAAGATTTTCTCTGTCTTTGCTTTTCTATAGTTTGAATATGATATGCCTAGATATAGATTTGGTTTTGTATTTATCATGCTTGGTATTCTCTGAGCTTCCTGGATCTGTGGATTGGTGTCTGTCATTAATTTTCGAAAATTCTCAGCCATTATTACTTCAAATACTTCGTTTTCTTCTCCTTCTGGTATTTCCATTATATGCATAACTTTTATAATTAACCCATGGTTCCTGAATATTCTGCTCTTTTCATTCATTCTTCTCTGTGCATTTCAGTTTTAGAAGTTTCTATTGACATTTCTGCAAGCTCACTGATTCTTTCCTTGGCCACATCCAGTCTATTGATGAGTGCATCAGAAGCACTCTTCATTTCCATCAATGTTTTGATTTCTAGTATTTCTTTTTTATCCTTTCTTAAAATTTCCATCTCTGCCTTACATTACCCATCTTTCCTTGCATTTTAAACACTTTTCCCATTAGAACCCTTAGAGTATAAATCATAGTTATTTTAAATACCCAGTCTCATAGCTGTCATAACTGAGTCTGGTTCTGATGTTTGGTCTGTCTTTTCAAGTGGTGTGGGGTGTTTTCGTCTTTATGATGCCTTACAATATTTGTTGAAAGCCTGGCAAGATACACTGGTTAAAAGGAATGTAAGCAAATAGGCCTTTAGTGTGAGGTTTTACATTTATTTAGCCAGGAGTAGGATGTGTTTACTATTTGCTTTTTCCACAAGGATCAGAGGCTAAAATTTCCTCTGAAGTTACTGTTTTTGTCTTCCTTGTTGCTTTGGGTTTCCATACAGATATCTTCTTAAATAAGATCTGAGACACACAGTTTTTTCATTTGTAACCCTCTGTTATTATACAGGAGCCCTAC